CAAATCGTTTTACAGTTTGTGTTGGCAAAGCTCTGAATAATCAATAGGACATCTGAGTATGATATTAAGTTTATCTTCACACACTGGAAAGTCCATTTGTAACTTCTGCTTTTATGAAATTGCTTAACTTTGTCAGCTGCTGTCATGTGAACTTGACTTGTAAGCTTAAGCATTTTATTCTGCTGCTCCTGAGTGTTTGTGTATGTGACCTATTGCACATTGTGAAACCAGAGGTATTAGGGTGACTAACAGACTGACCCATTGCATTGCTGTTCAGCAGGAAGAAGCCGTGTGCGTTCCCTCCATCCTCCATTGCCAGGTAAAATGGATGAGCCCCATACAGGTTTGTCTGTTCCTACAGTACGGAAGAAGAATGCAATGATATTACAATACATTTCATGTAATCGGCAGTTTTATCCAGCCAGTTAACAAAATTAATTCAGCCTCCTGTCATCCTCCAAAGACAGCCTGCAACAGCTTTGTGAATTAACTGCAAACGTGAGAGCATGGCAGCAAAGCATCAAAGACAATCAGACACAATAACTAACTGATCATTTCACTGACAAAAACGATATTAACGTGAACATCTGTGGGATCACACAGCAGCTGTGTCTGTGACCGATGGTTACCGTTGGAGGCACATCTCTAGCCCACATGGTGAGCGTGTTCCAGTGGACATCGTGCAGGAAGGTGGAGCGATGCTCACCCAGGCCATAAATGAACTGCGTAGGTAGGGAAGTGGAGAACTGGAGGAACTGATCCGCGTAGAAGAGAGGCGCCACAGTGGTGTTCAGACTAACAGGAAACATTTGGACAAGCATTAATGAGACTGTTATTTCATAACTGAATACATATATACAGTTCAGAGTAACTAATATGTATATGAATGAGGAAATCTAACTATAGCCCTTTTCTTCAACGTAAGCCAAATGAGACCTACAACACAGAGCCGCAAGTGGGAAAAAAATCCCTCTGAATCAGATACTTTATTCCTCACATTTCAGAATGTCCCATTCAGCTCAGACTTACAGTACTGCTCCTGTTGAGCGCCTCTTCACCACAAGACCAAATGGTTGCTTTGAGAGCTCGATGATATAATCTGGGCTTTCTGTCTTGTTGGTGACGGTGGGGACGGAGATGGGAACTTCAAACCGTGAGCTTGAAGGGTCGGTGATCTTGATGGAGAACAATTTGTGGTTAACTGGCAGTAATTATTACAAACATTTTATCAGAATTTAAAAAAAAAACAAAAAAAACCTTAATTAATCAAGCAAACTTACAGGATTAGATTTGAGCCTGATGAAATGAAAAATGAAATGCAAAGGAGAGCAAATTTTGCTCACATCTGTAATAGACAGGTGTAGTTTCTCTTATCTTTATTGTCATGAATACTAATCAATAAAATGATCACAGTGCAAAGGTCAACATGTTTGTTTTATATGTGTCAATGGAAAATTGTACTTGGTAGTCAGTATAGACTTTTAATGATATAAGTTTGCATATGATAGAATACTGCATGATGACCTTTTAGATGTGTTAGACTGTTGTTCACTACAAAAACTTGTTCTGTTCTCTTTCTTAGTTTCTTCCCACAGCGATAATAAGAGCTGAACCACTCTTATCTCCACTCCCTTCTGAATCCCGCAACACACACACACACCTGCATACGCTCTAACATTCCTCTGTCTATGAACAGATGTATTCACTATTGTATTACTTTTGTATATAAATAAAAACTAGAGCGGTAACAGAGCGCACTTCACAGGGCCCCCACTCTGATGTGAGTGCTCTGTGACCGCCCTTGCAAGTAAAATCTGCAGCGTGTGTGTCTCCACTCTCTGACTCTCAGCTGAAGAAGTGTCTTTTAGAATAAATCTCTTGACAATATGCAAAGCAAGAATCAACAGATGTGTGCACTGGAAGTCCATCTGCCCATCTTTTTTCCACATTTAGGTTTCTTACAGTGTGACTCAGTCATTTCATATAAAGTTTCTTAACTATCGCTGTCCAACAATCATGTTTATTTAAGACTATAAGGCAGTTTAGCCTGTGCCAATTTCCAAATTACAGCCTTTACATAGTACCCCTTTATTTAAACCAAATACTAATTCTTTTATTGGTCTGTTGCTTCCTCCAATTAAGAAAATGAAAAACAGAGAAACAGAAGATCAGTGCAAAAACACAGCATGAATTATAAGTTTTAAAGGCTCTTTAATACATTAACATGAGCAAAATGTATTCATCAACTTGTAAGTTTCCAAAATTTTGCCCTTCTATGTTTTCCATGACTAAATGTGAAACCTCTACTCACCCTGACACGTAGCCGCTTGTCCGTCTCATAACGCATCTCCACTTCTATGGTGAGGATGTCTCCAGGGTAATACGTCTTCACCTCCTTCACGAGCGTAGCTTTCTGTCCCAGCAGCGTGTCATTTAGTGACACGAGCGAGTACGAAGGGAACTCTGAAGGATAGAAACACCAAGGGATTCCATTTTTCCCTGACGGGCGACTGGCAGAGGGGGAAGCGGTGGACGCAGGGATAAAGCAGCAGTTCCTTGCCTCGCACAGCTCTCGGGTCACAACCACCCCTCTTTCAGGGTAGCAATCAAACCTCCACGCCTCTGGTATCAGACTGCATGCCTCACTTCGGAAAGAGGCAGCAGTATCGTTCGCTGATGTTTGCACTTTGGGGCCCGGTGTTTGTCCTGGGCCCGGCAGCGGCGGTTTATGCTCCTGTTGGTTGGGAGTGTGCAGCCATAACACAGCACCCAGTAGCCATGCTCCACAGAGCACCAGCAGGAGACAGCCGATCACCAGGAGGCCCGTGGTGACGGAGCATGAAGGTCCACGTTGAAGCAATGAGGCGTCCTCTGGCTCCAGCGCCTTGAAACACAGGAATGAAGTAAAAATCCAGTTTAAGCACTGAGCAGTACAGTAATACAGACTTTGCTCATAAAGATCCTAATTCTTGTGAGTCATCCTAATGAAAGAGATAATATACTAAAACGTAAGATTGTAAGGCACAGTATTTCTGCTCTACGGATTATAAAATGACAAACAGATTCATAAAAACAAGCTAACTCACTGAAGCCTCGCCTTGAACAGGCTCTTCTGACAAAACTGTGCTAGAAAACTGGACATCTTCAGGATTCAACTTCTTGTAGGAAACCATTGTGGCAATAAGAGTCTATGACAGTGAGAGACAGAGGAGAGCAAAATCAGTAGAGACATGCAGCCATGATTCATTTCCTTTGTGTGAAGCTGCTGGAAAAAGTGCATGACAAACAGTGAAGTGAAATTTAGTTTCTCCCATTTCAATGCAATGAGCACAATGGAAAAAATATACAAACAAACTACAGTGTCTGCGATGTCTAATGTTTATTAAGCATTAGGTTTAACATTTAGGCATTTACTCAACTGTAATAAATGTCACAATTAATGTGCCTAATACCACCATACACCAGCTGTTCCGTGAGTAATATACTGAGCAGGCTGCATCTTGAACTGCAGCAAGTTTAGCCTTCAAGTAAAGGTCACACATGCGGAAAAAACGCGTTAACTGCAGTTATATTAGCTTATATAAACAAAGAGAGGAATTTAATGAAATTTATATTTTAATATCGTAATCCAAGCTGCGGTGTTATTCCCAGTCACACTAATGAGAGGTCCTGAACAACTTGTGGCTAACTTTAGCTAGCTACTGCGTAGATATACACGTGAATGTCAAAGTTCACCTAGGAGACGTACGGCCTCTAAATTCATTCCAGATTTATTTACAGGTGTTAAGCAATAGATAAAACAGCTGTTCACCCTAGCCTGCTACAGTGGTACGCTATTGTTTTTCATTAAGGTTACGTACGTTAGCGTTAGCTTACTTTAGCAGCAGTCTTAAGTTTAGCAAACGTTTACAGACAGGAGTGTTACCTTTAGCGACGTCCAAACGGATATGCTTTATTCTCTGCAGGCGCAGAGGTGCATTATACAGCCCAAAGTTAGCTTTAAATTACGCGTTACGAAGCTAAATTTTTCGTAGTGTTAATAACCTCTGCCACCACAGCCTGCTCGGCGCGGTGTGCGTTTATTTATCTCTACGGCGCTTTCAGAATACCTCGTAATTCCAACAACTTCCGTTTGACGCAGTCCCCTCCAACAAACTTTGAGCATACAGCCTTTATGCTCTACAAACGAATATCTCGTGTTGAGATATATATATATATATATATATATATATATATATATGGTCGGTAAAATAAAAATTACCGACCATATGTTAGTAATTTTTTGTTTCCCAACACTGGTCAGAAGAACGCTTCCTCTCAGCGGTGCTGCCTTTAGGCGCAGCTGGGACTTCTGTGAAAGTGGTGGCAATATGTGGAGGCGATTAGATGACCAACATCTATCATGACTGAAAAAAACATAAGTAAAAATTTCAAGTTATTACTGCAAAATTTCAGCTTGGTATCCCAAAATTTCAAATTATTTTCCCAATTTCAAGGAATCAGACAAACAAACAAAAAAAATTGAAACAAAAAAAAGAAAATCAGTTAAGAAAAAAAGAAAAACGTAGAAAAATGGCTGTCCCAATTTGAAACATTTTTAGTCTCAGATGGAGAAATCTGATTTACAGATTTTCATTTGTGAAACTTGTGATGCACAATAGTGTAAACAGGATTTTGTGTTGGATAATTGCTTTGCAAAGTATAAAAATAATAAATAAAGTAAAAAATACAGTCCTCCTTAAGTAGCTTAATGGGGCTCAAATTAAATGATCAAAATATATTCCAGAGTAAACATATTCACTCACTGTAGAACGTTGCTTTTCCGAATCATATGCATTATATTATTTGTTCACTGTAGCTGGTAATCATGTTACTTTATTCCACATGTTGTCACTGCAAGGTTCTTTTAAGTTTGCCATAGACTGCATCGTTCTGGTCTTTGCAAAAACTACAATATTAAACCTGCCCAGCATATTCAGGTCCTGAAATCACAAACAAAGTAGTGTTTAGAACTTTTATTGTTCAACATGACATGTCCCATACATTTAGACAGAGGCAGCACATGGCATAATTAACCACCTACATGGCTTCAAATTATTGCCTTTAGCATCACAGAATTAGAGGATGGTACCTTTAATCATGTCGGTTACTCGGCCTTTAAAAGACGACAAAATCAGGTGAACCCGAATTGTTATCTGGCTAATAAGTAACAATCGAAAACAAGACTTAATAAGCATTCGCCACTTACAGAAGACTGGCTTCATTATTGTTTATTTTATGACATTTTGTTTCATTTCTGGCTAAATGTCTGAAAGAAGGTTCAGATTAACCTGATTCTTAAACTGCTTAATGGGCCACTATAACGCTTAGTACAAAAATATTCAACCAAATTTCCACATACACTATTAGCCTGATAACAAATACTGCATGAAAAACAAGTGTAATCACAGACTTTTAAATCAGTCACTCATAATAATAAGTGTGAGTGGACTATTCCAGTGGCTCCAGGACAGATAATCAGTGACAGAGTTAGGTAAAAGTGACCTCCAACATGTAGAATTTTAAACACTTTCCAAGATGTTACATAAATTAGTAGAAATATGTTTGGTTGGTGTTAATGAACATCACTTGGTGTGTATCTATTTAGAAGCCTGTCTACACTCTTCAGGGAGTTACATTTTTTAAAGTTAGTATTATTTTCATGTAAATTCGGGAAAAAAACTAATGAAAAGAAAATCGGACCAGTCAACCAATGTGAGAAAAAAAGTTATGACAGTAAAATTTCAGTCTAGTAGACGCACATATACTGCTTGTGTACTTGAGACCCATTTAAAACAGCTAATCACATTCTTTAAATGTTCAACCATATTATAATGCAGCTGAAATGTGTGCTGAGCCGTGTCTAGCACTGCCCACACAACGTTAGTGTACAAGGTTAGTTTACCAGGTGTGGCTAACGTTTCTGTCCGTGCAGGTAAACGTCCACACGTCTGTGCAGACTGTGTTCATGCACCGCTCCAGTAGCAGTTTCTGCCATGGCCTACATGCAGCTGTTCACTTTTTTAAAAGATCAAAATACTTCCATACCGCACTGGTTAGTGCATCTGTCGTCTGCTTGTTTTTCACATTGCTTGCTTTCAGGTTCTTGTCACAGAAAGAAAGAGAGGCGTGCTGCTGGGGCTACACTCCTACATAACACCTTAGAACAGTTTACTGGCATTATACATTAAGAAATATGAATATTTTGCTTATAGCGCTAACATTTCTTGCGATGACTAGTGAGGAAAGCAACATGTAGTCGCCTGCCTGACTAGTGCTGCACATCCCTAGTGTGAAAAACCACACAAAAGTATGAATAAAGTTCTAATCACAGAGGTAGTCCCTTATTTCCACATCACCTTGTTCCTGTTTTACTGTCTGAAGTCTTAATAATACTACAGGTACATGTCTTTTAAATACATCATCCATCTTTCTTGTCTGTTATGCACATATTAATTGGAGAGTTATCATCGCTGTGTGAGAAGTCATCATTCCTCATATTGAACGCAGACTCCTCCTCAGTCTGAATCTGCTCGTGTTTTCGTCTGTGGAGCCTGAGGCTTTGTGAGCGGCTGAAGCCTCTCCCACAGATGTCACAGCCATAAGGCCTCTCTCCTGTGTGGAGCCTGAAGTGATTCTTTAGGCTTGAAGCTCGTGTGAAACTCTTTTCACACTCAGGACAGTCAAACTTCTCACCTAAGTGGATTTTCTCGTGTTCCCTCAAGCGGCCGGACTGGTTGAAGCTCCTGTCGCACACGGAGCAGTGGTAGGGCCTCTCTCCTGTGTGCGTGAGCCGATGTCTGTTCATGGCCCCCGAGTGGGCGAAGCTCTTCCCACAGTCCGGACAGGAAAACGGTTTCTCTCCTGTGTGAACTTTATAGTGACCTTTGAGTTGCCCTTTCTGGGTGAACTGTTTCCCGCACAGGGTGCAGCGGTACGGCTTCTCTCCAGAGTGAATTCGCATGTGGATCTGAAGCGCAGACATCTTGTGGCAGTCTCTTCCACAGAGGCCACAGCAGTAAGAGCTCTTTGGTATGTTGTTATTTGACTCTCCCCGCACTGGCGGTGCTGGAGGGCATTCTTTTTCACTGTTTGCAACATGCTCGGGATCTTTTCCAGACACTGTGGAAATGTAAATATGAAGAGCTAAAACAAGCCATTTGAAACCACCAAAAACAACAAACAAAAAGTTAAAGCTACTAGATATTGTATGTTGGAATATAAGTTTGATGCAGTGTCTGCCATTCCTTATTTCTAAAATGGGAAAGCATCATATTTAGCTAAATTACATCTAACAAGTTTCCTGTTACATTGTAAAGTAAAATTACTGGTTTAAGATGTTGTTGTTGCTTTAAAAAAAGTGAGGGCTGTCATCCAACAGCTTTCACCATTGAAAGTCAAAGTCCAGAAGAATTATGTGCAACAATAACCTATAATTACCTTTTTTTTCCCCCCACCTCTTTAAACGACTGCTATATAGTGTTACTTAATGCTGCTCTAAATCTGGGATAAAGAACATATTCTTGCCCAGCCACTTTAGACAACACGTAGACCTTTTCCACTTGTGCCTACTTGGCTCAACTCGACTTGATTCAGTTTTGGTTGTTTTCCACTGCAATCGAGAACCACCTAGTATACTCGGAGTCGTTATAGCAACACCAGCGAAGGTCCAGCGAAGGTCCGCCAAAGGAGTATGACAAAATGATGGTATATCTGCTGCTCAGTGTGTGGCTTTTTCTCAGACTCGGGTACCACTGTATTGTTTTTTGTGTGGCCATTTCCCTTGTTGCCAGGTTTCAAAAATGACGGATTTGATTACCAGGTACTACCTCCTAATGGGAAACCTTAAAAACCGAGTCGAGCCCAGTCAAGTAGATACTAGTGGAAAAGGGATATTAGATAACCTAGTTACCCACATCCCAGTTAGTGACTACTCATCAGCAGTAGGATTTGCTGTTGTGTATTCTTACTATTGAGAGGTTGCTGTTCTTCCTCCTTTACTGTAATACTAATTTCTGTGGTGCTTTCCTGACGCTGCTTTTCAGTTTCTTCTGGTATGGTACAGTCCTCACCAACAGACACCTGCTCTGGAGTTTCTTCCACTGGGAAAAAACAACAACAACACAAAAACAGCACTGCTGATCAAACATGTTTACACTCCTCTTAATGCGTAAAAAGACACTCTGGAATGTCATGTTTACTTACCGCACAATGGTTCCTCTTCTTCCTCCTCTTTCACGATTACATTCATATGTGGGGTGGGAGCAGTGTCGTCCGGCTGGCCGATGGGTCCTTCCGGGGTATTTTCACACTGAGCTGCTTTTTTAAAACCCTCTGCGGAAGTGGGCTCAGTTGCACAAGGCACAGTCTGACTGACAGACACCTAAAAACACAATTTCAGAAGAAGAAATGGAAGTAAATAAAACACAGAGATACTACTTTTGCATATCTGTGTACTGCCACTACCTCAGAGCTGATGCTGCTGGCCAGATCTCGCTGGGAAGATTCTTCAGCTGCAGCCTGAACTAAGTCTGACACAACCTCTGTATCCGACTCCTTCTTGCTCTGTGTGCATGACCGTTTATGGTTTCTGAGAGTTCCTGCCAATGAGAAGTGCCTCCCACAGTCTGCGCAGGTGTATGGCTTTTCCCCAGTGTGAATCCTGGTGTGCCTCCGAAGCTCTCCAGGAGCAACAAAAGACTTATCGCACTGCGTGCAGCTGTAAGGTTTCTCTCCCGTGTGAGTCCGCATGTGTGTGGTCAGGGTCCACTGCTGTGCAAATGTCTTTCCGCAGTCAGAGCAGTGGTAAGGCGTGATGCCAGTATGGAGACGCTCGTGTCTTACAAGTGTACCGGACAAGGCAAAGCGTTTGTCACAGAAAGAGCACTGGAAGGGTCTTTCTCCAGTGTGAGTCCTCTGATGATCCCTCAATTCAGCAGCTGAGTTACAGCTTTTCTCACAGTCTGAACAGGGAAATTTCTTCCTCGTAAAGCCTGCGACAACCTCAGAGTGCATTGCCTCCAAGTGCGTTTTCAAGTGCCAGTGACGAGAAAAGCTCTTTAGACAGATGGAGCAGTGGTAAGGCCTCTCACCAGTGTGTGTCCGCCGGTGTAGCCGGAGCTCCCCCTGACTGGCAAATCTTTTCTCACAGAAAGTGCAAGGGAATGGCTTTTCCCCAGTGTGAACCCTTTCATGGATCATGAGAAGCCCCTTTTCTGGAAATCTCTTCTCACACATGGAGCACGGGAAAGGCCTCTCTCCCGAGTGAGTACGTAGGTGACGCTGAAGCTTAGAGGCATAAGGAAAGTCTTTTCCACATACTGAGCAGGTGTGAAGAGAAGGCGGTTTTTCATTCTCGCTTGGACCAAATGTCTTTGAGGGAGCATCTGCAGGTATGGCGCCAGGGATGGCACTCACTCCTGTGGAAACACAAAGAACAGATCAGCAACCAAGAATCTGTGTGAACAACTAACACCATGCTTATAAGCACTTCAGAAATCAGGTTACCAGATGTTGTCTATAAAGCTGACTGGGCGAGGTAACTGCCAATATTTAATTTTGAAACAGTTCCCAAATAACTAAAAAATTAAACAATAGAGTCAGTAGCCTCTCCAATGAGCTTTCATCCTGCACACAGATTCCAGCTCCACGTCCTTCGAATGTAGCTGCTGAAGATGGTCCTCATTTGGACCGTACAATAAGTTCTGTCAGTGAAGCTGGCATCTGTCTTACCGTGGAGGAAGAGACTCTCTGGAGAGACAGCTTTAGGATATCAACAGCAACGTAACCAGCCTGCAGACATGGACACACGAGACAGGAAGTGCCGGGGCCGGCTGATTAGCAGCCACTGAGCAATCAAAATGAGAGCAAGAAGATTGCTCACCAGTCAAACTAATCATGGATCGCATAGTTCTCTCTGATCGTCACCAAATACACAGTCACATGATTCATTAAAATTAAAATTCTGAACCAACTGAGGTGATTGTCTAAAAAAAATTAATTAACTAATAAACTCAGACACACTTTGTGAAGATGGTCAAAAGTGATGGATTCTTCCCCATCTTAGATCAAACATTATCACTACTGTTTTTGCCAAAATCCAAAAGTGGCTATATTCACTTATTTTAGTTTTTCTCTTACCAATTTATTTAACAATTTCAGAAGCAGGCTATGCTTCTTCAAAAAAAAAAAAAAAAAAAAAACTAGTGGCAGATCAGAGCAGCTGCAGGACCTTTGGAAATAATTCTTCTTGAGAAGTATATTAGAGCATTTTTCCATCTATAGTTTGTTTACTCTGGTGTAAATAAGTTTATGGGTTTGTAAACTTGTAGCTTTTTCCTGTGATTTGGTTTCTTTTCACACAGAGGAACCAAATGTGTCACTACAAACCCATGTGAGAATATCCAGTCCACTTATTTACTGAAAGTAAATACAGGAAGAAGGTGCTGTGTTCTGGATGAGTGGAGAACATGGAGAATTTATGCTCATATCACAGCTACTTAATAGGCCGTACTGATGTACTATGGTACCCGCCCGCATCCCAGAATGCAATGCATACATGGCTAAAGGGAAGTGTTTAGCTCTAACTTGCAACATATATCTGGTAGCTGGGTCAGATTGCATTCATGCTATAAATGAAATGCTTTACAGTTTGTTTGGAATTGAACTGAGACCAAGGGTCTCGGTCCAGCTGTTTTCATCCACACCAGCGTGCGATCACCATGTTCACATCTGCACAAACAAACTGCAACAAACCACAGTCTGATTTTAAACAGAATAAACACTGCAGGTGTAAAACTGTACTTTCTTTGAAACTAACTAAATCTGAGAGAAAGAAAGCCAAAAATGCCTTTTCTGATAGGCCATTAATGAGGAGAGGACATGCACAGATGACACTCTCTGTCCAGTTAATTAGATTAACAAATGCGCCTAACGTGAGAACTTCCAATTTTCCGCAAACAGTTATACTGCTACTGTGTTGAATTACATTGAATAATACAGGAAGGTACATGCCTCACACAGGAAATCACCACAAACCACAAGAATCAAAACTCCTACGACTCACACAGTATTTAAAACATCGCTAGTTTCTATTTTTCTTGTCGCTGGTTAATTTTTGCTGTTGTTTTTTTTTTTTTACTCACTCAGATCTGAGAAATCCACTTCTTCACCATCAGAGTTGATCAGCCCTCCAATCTCTTGCTGATCATCTTCAGTAAGGATCACAACTGAACCAAAGTCTTCTGGGTTTTCAGAGCCCATCTCTCAAATATACAGCCTGATAAAGGTGAATAACTGTCAGTAAACAAACACCAAAGTAATAGTTCACACCAAACTACTGTCTGCAGTTGGCCAAAAGCATCAGACTTGTTTTAGACTTTTTCCTTTTGGCCCCTATATTATAGGTCTAAAACATGCATTTGAAATAATCCATCCATTCGCTTCCGCTTATCCTTTTCAGGGTCGCGGGGGGCGCTGGAGCCTATCCCAGCTGTCATAGAGCGAGAGGCAGGGTACACCCTGGACAGGTCGCCAGTCTGTCGCAGGGCTAACACACAGGGACAGACAACCATTCACACTCACATTCATTCGCACATTCACACCTAGTGACAATTTGGATTATCCAATTAACCTATCCCCACAAGCTGCATGTCTTTGGACGGTGGGAGGAAGCCGGAGTACCCGGAGGGAACCCACGCAAACACGGGGAGAACATGCAAACTCCACACAGAAAGACCCCGGCCTGATGGTGGAATTGAACTCAGGACCTTCTTGCTGTGCGGCAACAGTGCTAACCACCGTGCCACCGTGGCACGTGCTGCATTTGAAATAATGAGAGCAAAAATATAAGAAGTATTTTAGCATTACATTACAAAGGGACATCTAAACATAATTTCCTAATTTGGCTTCCTGAGTAGTTTTATTTATCATAAATATAATTTTCTCTCATTTCCTGATTTGGATCAGCACATTGTGAAGAAAGGGAAAAAAATTATTGTATATATGTATGTATGTATGTATGTATGTATGTATGTAAGTTGTTTACTTGGGTGATAACGATTCCAAATGTCACAAGCACAGACCACACAGAAAACATATTTCTTTGCAGAAACAATATTCAGGGTACTTCTTATTAGGATTAAATGTTTATCAGAATTAAGCATGACATACTGGCAGCAATAAAATAGATGTGTATTACAAATGCATTAATATATCAGGCAGACATCGGCCTTGGCCAGTGTTCTTGCTGACTGCGATTGGCAGATGATGAGATTTACTGTTGGCAGTGGCCGATGTTTATCTGTTGTGTTATCAATTTTGTGGTGGCTAAATGTTCAAAGACAGTGTGATGAAGAGCAGAAAGATGTTTGTTTTTTTGTTTGTTTGTTTTTTAAATAAAGATTTATTTATTTCTCTGGCACAAAAGACAGAATAACAGCTAAAGAAAAAAAACACGTATTTAAAAACTAGTATGGGTAGATAAATTCACAAGTGGGGCATCTCAAATGATTACAGTGTTGTTTCTGATATTATTACATTTCATAATGAGCCACAGATTTTTATTTAACCCAGCTGTGATTACCTCATTAGGTTGATTTTATTTAATGCCACAAATAACCCACTGGGGCTCACAGTGACTGATGTTCTCTTCATTTGGTTGCAGTCTGCTTAAGTTTAGATCCATCTACAGATGGATCTGAGTAATAAAGGCATTCTTGTCACAGTGAGCAAACTGCCTCCATCGTCCTGCTCAAGGACACTTGGGCAGCTTAGATGCTGCTCTGTAGAGGAGGTGAACCAGGCTGGGCCTTTAATTCTGAGCTGCCTCTTCAGTGACCTATATTACTGTGAATTCGGTGTAAAAATAAATAAATAAATAAAATAATTCAGCAAGCTCTGAAGTGGTCTGCAGTGGGGGAAGCTGTACGCATACATCTGTGTCAACTGAGTGTCTCGGCTAGCTCAGTAGCATTAGCTCGGAGGGGCTAATCTGTCTCCAACCATGAAGTGTCACATTAATGTTGACTTAAGTTAAGCAGCAGCCTGAATGACTGACCTGTTGGTGTATATAAGTCGTGGCAATGAATAGCCATCTCAGCCGGAGCAGACGCACATAGTATAGACAGTTTGACCTCAGGCTGAATGATGGCTGTGAGTCGTGACGCGGCGGTGACCAGCGCTTTGGTCAGCCACCATCTCTGCCTCCATCTACTGTTATTAAACAGCTAGCCACTAACGTTTACCAGCTATGCTCATCTTAGCAGGTAGCTAACAGCCCCCTTAAACTACAACCGATATTCAGCAACTAATAACAGGTCCCACCGTTTCATGCTCCGACGTTAAAAGTGATAAATTTGCGCAGACTCCCCCTAAGCTCTGCAAACGACGCTAACTCAGCTAGCTAACACTTAACAACAGACAATAGACATTTTGACCAACCTCTGTATAGATTTTTCCCCCAGGTAAAAAAGTAGTCGCGCGACAGAAGTTTATGGAGACGACCTGGAAATATTTCTACATCTCCCTTGGGTTCATGCTCATGTGTTCACACAGTGTGTCAAATTAATGTCAACTAATGACTTACGGCAAATAAGCGTTTGGATTTGATGACAACCTTTCTAGCTTTAGCTTCTAGCTTCAAGTATCGTCGGAACTTCCGGTTGGCCTTTTAAATCACAATAAAAGCCTCGGTAATAACATTTCGTGGAGCTTTTTTGTCAATTCGCAAACATGCAAAACCGTTTTGAAATGTGTTAAAACCACACAGCAGTCAGTCATTCCTTAAATATTCAAATAGAAGAGGCTCATCAAGCACAGATGTAACTATTGGGATTCTCTGCTGCACTGCACTAATAAATGCAACATACAAAGATTAATGCATTCACGAGCTTCTGCTATGACGCATTCAATTATGTCTCTATTTACATGCAACATTTTTTTTTACTTTTCGAGTGCTGCAAATGTCAAATGCATGTGAATAATGTGCACTCACTGGCCATTTCATTAGGTAAACCTTGTCAACAACTTATAAATATATATTCACCCAATCGCATGGAAACAACTCAGTGCATTCAGGCATGTAGACATGTTGAAGAAGAGCATCAAATCACTTCAAACTCAATGAGGAAGAAAGTGTTTTTTAATTGGACACAGTCAGAAAAAAAAGAAAATATCCTGTGAGCGGCAGTTCTCTGGGTGAAAATGCTTTGTTGATGTCAGAGGAGAATAACCAGGCTGCTGCAAACTGCTAGAAAGGCAATAGTAACTCAGCCACTCGTTACAACCAAGGTATGCAGAAGAGCATCTCTGAATGCACAACACTTATCATTTTGAAGCGGTTGTGTTACAGCTTTCAAGAACACACCAGGTGTCACTCCTGGCATTAAGGCTCACCAAAATTAGACATTAGAAGACTGAAGAAATGTTGCCTGGTCTGACAAGTCTTCATTTGGACAGTAGTGTCAGAACTTGTTGTAAACCGCATGAAAGCATCCATCCTGGCATGATGTCATGACATGGGAATATATTTTTGGCACACTTCAGGTCTCTCCGTACCAACTGAGCATTGTTCAAAGCCTACCTATGCACTATGATGCCTATCGCTTTAATAACATGAATGTACCTGCGTTAGAAAGTCTATGCATAAGATAACCTAAAATCTTTCTGGAAGCCAAACACACCTTTTCAGTACCACGTTGGACGGCCTTTTTACCTTCAGAACTGCCTTCATTCTTTGTGGCACAGATTCAACAAGGTGTTTGTAACATTCCTCAGAGATTTTGGTCCATGTTGACATGATAGCATCACACAGTTGCTGCAGATATGTTGGCTGCACACCCGTGATGCAACTCTCCCACTCTACCACATTTTAAATGCGCTCATTGTCATGTTTCAGAAACTCTAATCCAATGATCAAGTTTGGATGAACCAAAAATACAAAGAACTTGTTTTTTTAAGAACCATTGACCAAACTACGGACAATGGAAGTGACCATACAAAATATACTACAGGAATACTTTTTATACTTGAGTCATCTGAGAGATTTTATTTCAAATTAACTCTTTTCAGACACTGGATATGTAACATTACTGGCTTGATGAATCTGTTAAAGTGACAACAGACTGCTACATTCATTACAACACTGATGGGACGAGACACCGTACTTGCACAGTATTGCGTACTACTTGCGAGATATAAAGATACATCAATTGGCATACATAATGCACGAGGTCAGAGTCTTGTCATCAGCTCTTTAAAACAGAGGCCACACTGTATGTGCGATTACGGGACTTTAATCAATGGATCAGACAATCTTGACCAATCCTGTCCCCATTTTAGGGTAATTATTAAACATCAAATTAATGCCATTGTGCCACATTCATAAGTATGCATATACCTCTTGAAGCTCAGAAGTCAGATTAACAGAAAGTAGTACATGTCTTTGTTTAGGTTTAATAATCAAAGGCTTCTCAGACTGCTGTAAATGTTCTTGATCACATTACTGTTTGTTTACCACTATCAGCTGCTGTTTCGGTCTCCCCAAAGTTCTCATGGATGTTTTTGGCTTCTTGTCATGAATCTTCACATGCGCTTGATAGCCCTGATAGTAATAGAAACACTTCCCACATATCTTACACGCATACGGGTTCTCTCCGGTGTGAACTCTCAGGTGAACTTTTAGGGTATCTGCTCTGGAGTAACGTTTCCCACAGATTGAGCACAGAAAAGATCGCTCTCCGGTGTGAGTCTTCAGGTGCAAATTGAGGTTGTAAGATTGCAAAAATGCCCTCCCACACTGATCACAGTGGTAGTTCTTTTCTCCAGTATGGGTTAACTTGTGTTTTTTAAGCATTTCCATCGTGACGCAAGTCTTCCCACACTCTGAACAGAGATAAGGTAAATCTCCTGAGTGGAGGCGCATATGCATTTTAACACTCTTATTATGTTTGAATCTCTTCCCACAGTTAGGACATGCGAAGGGCTTCCAGTGAATCTCGCGGTGTTCCTCTAGCTTATGTTTCTCAGGGAAGTCCATTCCACACTCCCCACACACGTGAACTGTAGCAGGAGATGCTTTAGGCTCGCTCTTCTCTTGAATTAATGTCCACTTTGGTAACTCTCCTGTGAAAAATACAAGCATATACACAATTAAAAATAAAGTAAACAAACAAACAAACAAACAAAAAAAACCCAAAACCTCAAGCTCACAGACAGGTGAACTGAATAAAATTGCTCATGATGTTACACAGTGAGAGCC